AGCAGAATGTGTTCGGACTGCTATGATTAAATTTCAATTGGTAGAGAGGGTTTAGGGTTTGGGGTTTAGCGTTTAGGGCTTGAGGGGTTTAGGGTTTACGGTTGGGGGGTTTAAGGCTTGGGGGTTCGGGGTTTAGGGTTTTTAGTCCATTTATCCTTCCTGCATCCAGACCTCTAACTCTAAGCCCAACGCTCAAAAATTGTCCGGCACAAAACCTCCACACAGCTTAACCCCTAAACACTAAACCCCCAACAGCCATAACCCTGGGCAGAGGCTTTTTTGGAATGCCGTCGGTCCACACCAACTCTTTAAGCTCGCATCTGTAGGGTCCTTCCGGTCCAGAGTCAGATTAAGGATTCTCCATTAGTTATCTCTGCTAGGGCTTAGGGTTTCTATGCTAAGAGTGCTCTGGGTTTGAGCAAGGGTTTCTATGCTAAGAGTGCTTCGGGTGGGTTCTCTATACTAGCTATCTCTGCTAGGGCTTCGGGTTTCTATGCTAAGAGTGCTTTGGGTTTCTATGATGAGTGCGCTGCAACGAGATCGGACCCTGGAGTCAGCACCCGAGATGCAGAGCAACCCGCATTTCAAGAATTTGTTGAAAGAGCTTCGGGCTCTGCAGCCGCGACTTCCGAGCCCCAAAAATTCGCGGATGTGCTATGAGGACCGCTACAAACCCTAAACCCTAAACGGATGCCTTGCAATGGACCCTAAACCCTCAAACCCTAAGCCTTAAACCCTAAACCCTAAACCCTAAACCCTAAACCCTAAACCCCCTTATTCTAGTCAGCTATCATTCCGGAGTCTCTGGTTCGGAGGCCCAGGGATCCGAAGCTCGGGCAGTTCTGGGGTTTGGAGGTCGGGGTTTCGAGCTTGGGGGTGCAGGCTTGAGGGGTCAGGGTTCAGAAGTCATGGGTTTAGGGTTTAGGGTTGAGTCAGGGTTCAGAAGTGATGGGTGTGGGTGCAGGGTTTAGGGTTCAGGGTTCAGAAGTTTAGGGTTTAGGGTTTAGGGTTTAGGGTTTAGGGGCCAGGGTTCAGAAGTAATGGGTTTGGGTGCAGAGTTTAGGGTTCAGGGTTCAGAAGTAACGGGTTTGGGGTTTAGGGTTTAGGGTTTAGGGGTTTAGAGTTTAGGGTTTAATGGGTTTAGTAGAGTCTGGAGGTTCGGGGCCCAGGGCGTCGTAATAGATGCTACAAAGCGATGTTTTGGGGCTCATTGCCGGCAAGTGCCAGTTGGGTGCTGCCGGGGGCAACGGCCGGGTACTCGCCAAGGGAGGCGAACCTTGCAAAATAGTTAGGCGTTTATTTTTTGTTGGGTTTAGGGTTTAGTTTTTTTTTTTGGTGCGTTTATTCTGTTATTGGCATTCTGCTTCCTGTTGATTCCTGTGAAGGATTTCCAAGAACACTCGCTGTTTGCTTTCCTTCTGAGCGCACTGGAAACATGCTTTTGAATATTGGTCTTCTACCAGAGTTTCTGCCAGTGCAAAAGTCGTCCACCCTCAGCAGAAACCCTAAAACCGAAACCCTAAACCCTAAGCTCTAAGCC